TTCCTGTTCGGTCTGGAACTGTTCCCTTGATGCTGGAGACATCAGTTCCTCATGGGATTGTGGACCTAGGCTTGGTCCCTCTGGAAGCGATATAGGGGATGGAGCTGTTTCTGTTGACTGTGAACCGCTCTCCGCTGGTGCACTATGTTGGGATTCAGGCTCCGGCTGAGCCTCTTGGGTCGGGTTATCGGCTGCTGCCAGTTCAGGTTCGGTGGGGCCCTCTGTTGTTGAGGTTGCAAGTACTGGATTCAGTGCTGACACGGGGTCTGGTGTTGGTTGTTCGGCTGGTTCCGGTTCTGGGACTGGTTCCGTCTGGGTCTCTGGGACTGGATCCACTACTGCTGTTGCAGACATTGGCCTGGGGTCCAGGTCCATCACCTCTGACTGGGTCCTGATAGAAGTTTCCGGAACAGAGCTAGGCCTCACGGCTTGTTTAGCCTGGCTGCGGGTGACCATTCCCACCCTCTTGGCCTGCTTCACATGATTGGCCAAGTCTTCCCCCAACAGCATGGGGATGGGATAATCATCATAGACTGCAAAAGTCCACATTCCTGACCAGCCCTTGTACTGGACAGGCAACTTGGCTGTAGGCAAATTGAAAGAGTTGGACTTGAAGGGTTGAATCGTCACTTGGATCTCTGGGTTGATTAAATTGGGGTCCACTAAGGAAGCATGGATAGCTGACACTTGTGCTCCGGTGTCCCTCCACGCGGTGACCTTCTTCCCGCCCACACTCACAGTTTCCCTCCGCTCCAAGGGTATCTGGGAGGTATCTGGGCCTGTGGACCTCTGGTGTGATTCCGGTGCAATGAACTGTAATCTGTTGGGGTTCTTGGGGCAGTTGGCCTTTACATGCCCCAGCTCGTTACATTTAAAACATCGTCCAGCTGATGGGTCACTGGGGCGAGGAGGGTTGCTGGAGAACGGGGTGGTGGGACGATAAGGGGTCTGGAGGGTTCTTTGGGAGGTAGGTGGGGCTTTGGGCGGCCCCCGGTAATAGGGTGTGGTCTGGGGTGGTCCCTTCTGGTCTCCACTCCAACTGCAACCAGTTTTCTTCTTCTCTGCCACCTCCACCCATCTGGCTCCAATCTCTCCTGCCTCGATTACAGTTTTGGGCTTCCCGTCTAGGATGTATCTTTCTATTTCCTCAGGAACACCCTCTAAGAATTGTTCCATTTGCATTAGGAAGGGCAAATTTACTGGAGAGTCAACACTTGCTCCTGATATCCAGGCATCCCAATGTTTCACAATGTGGTAGGCATGTCGGGTAAATGACATGTCTGGTTTCCACCTTAGGGCTCTGAACCTCCGACGAGACTGCTCGGGTGTTATCCCCATTCTGACTCTCGCCTTGGATTTAAACAGTTCATACTTGTTCATGTGTTCTTTAGGCATTTCAGCTGCCACCTCAGCTAAGGGTCCACTGAGCTGCGGCCTCAGCTCTACCATGTATTGGTCAGTAGAGATGTTGTACCCAAGGCAGGCCCTTTCAAAGTTTTCTAAGAAGGCCTCAGTATCATCACCTGCCTTGTAGGTGGGGAACTTTCTGGCATGGGAAGTGGTACCTGGAGAAGGATTGCTAGGGTTTGTTGGTATATTCTGCTGGGCCTTTATCCTCTCCACCTCCTCCACATGCTTCCTCTCTTTTTCCTTCTCCTCCTCCACATGCTTCCTCTCTTTTTCCTTCTCCTCCTCCACATGCTTCCTTGCCTCCATTTCCCTCTTGTGGGCAGCCTCCTGTACCTCCTTCTCCAGCCGCATGAGTTCTATCTGTCTTTCATGTTCCCTTTGTCTTTCCTCAGCCTGAAATTTGGCTAATTCCAGCTGTAGTTGAGCTGAGGATTTGGTCATTCTAACCTCTCTGTTTTTAACTAACTTTACACCTGAGGTTTAGAAATAAACAAACAAAACTTGGCTGTAAAATTTTGCTGTGCTGCAATAGAATACCTATTCTCTGATAGTGATTGTCAGCCTACAGAAAAAGACAATTCCCTTGTCTCTGCTCTGGGCCCAAATTAAAGCAAAAAACCTCCAACTACTTGGAAACCTGCTTACCCAGCCCAAAGAAAAAGCAAATGGGTAGAACACACACCCCCTATTTACTTTTAGGAAGAAAAGAAAAAAAAACCTCTGGATTGGAAGATTTCCCTGCAGGAGTTAAGTACCCTGCCTCCAGGCAAAAAAAACCTGCAATTCACAAGATAATCCCCTTTTGTCTCTGCTTGGCCACAAAGCAGAGAGAAACCAAGCTGCTTTCAGTTTCAAAGCTGCTTTCTGGACTTTCTTTCCAAAGAAAAAAAAATTTTCCTTTTTAAAATCTGTATTTCTAGTTCAAAAAATCTCAACTGGATCTCAAATGATTTCAGGTTAATCCCACCGCTGCCACCATGTCAAGGTTCCTCCCCCACTCTGAACTCTAGGGTACAGATGTGGGGACCTGCATGAAAAAACCCCCTAAGCTTATCTTTACCAGCTTAGGTCAAAACTTCCCCAAGGTACAAAATATTACACCCGTTATCCTTGGAATGGCCGCTACCACCACCAAACTAATACTGGTTACTGGGGAAGAGCTGTTTGGACGCGTCTTTCCCCCCAAAATACTTCCCAAAACCTTGCACCCCACTTCCTGGACAAGGTTTGGTAAAAAAGCCTCACCAATTTGCCTAGGTGACTACAGACCCAGACCCTTGGATCTTAAGAACAATGAACAATCCTCCCAACACTTGCACCCCCCCTTTCCTGGGAAATGTTGGATAAAAAGCCTCACCAATTTGCATAGGTGACCACAGACCCAAACCCTTGGATCTGAGAACAATGAAAAAGCATTCAGTTTTTACAAGAAGACTTTTAATAAAAAATAGAAGTAAATAGAAATAAAGAAATCCCCCCTGTAAAATCAGGATGGTAGATATCTTACAGGGTAATTAGATTCAAAAACATAGAGAACCCCTCTAGGCAAAACCTTAAGTTACAAAAAAGATACACAGACAGAAATAGTTATTCTATTCAGCACAATGCTTTTCTCAGCCATTTAAAGAAACCATAATCTAACACATACCTAGCTAGATTACTTACTAAAAGTTCTAAGACTCCATTCCTGTTCTGTCCCTGGCAAGAACAGCACACAGACAGACCCTTTGTTCCTCTCCCTCCTCCCAGCTTTTGAAAGTATCTTGTCTCCTCATTGGTCATTTTGGTCAGGTGCCAGCGAGGTTACCTTTAGCTTCTTAACCCTTTACAGGTGAGAGGAGCTTTCCCCTGGCCAGGAGGGATTTCAAAGGGGTTTACCCTTCCCTTTATATTTATGACAGCATTACAGAGGGGCTGTGCGTTACTGTCCCATTGAGTGGTTGCTGGCTGAGGGATGAATCTGAATTACCTATATACATTGGTGGGCTCTGCAATGAGAGGAAGATTGGTCCAGTGGTTGAGGTGCTAGCCTGCCACTCAGGAGACTTGAGTTCAGTTTCCAGATCTGTTACAGACTTCCTCTGTGACACTTAGCCTGTCTGTGCCCCCAGTTCCCCATCTGTAAAATAGGAATAATCATACTTCCCTACCTCACAGGTGTGTTAAGAGGATAAATAAATTAAAGCTTGCGAGGTACTCAGATATTAGTGCAAGCGTGACCATTAAGAGTGTAACATAGCTAGAATGAACTCTTTTTCACTCAGGAAAAAGACTTGGGTGTGCATTGTGGATATCTCTGCTATAAAAACTGCTTCTCAGGGTCCACCAATAGTTTAAAAAAATATTAAAAGGTAATGTTATTTTTATATATATATATACACATATACACACTCAAAGCTACACTCTTACATGCAATATTCTGTTCAGTTCTGGCCACTCCATCTACAAAAGGATATGGTAGAAATACAGGAGTTCAAATATAGGCAACAAAAATTTTTAGATACATGAAAAGGCTTCCCAGTGAAAAGAAATTTAAAATATTGGGCCTATTTAGACTACAGGTGAGATGAGTAAGAGGGAATCTGTAGCGATATACAAAATGAATCCTCTAGAAATGGCAAATTGAGGTCTCCTATTTGCTCTTTCTCATAATGCAGTAACTAGGAGACATTCAATAAAACTGAAAGACAACAAATTCAAAACTGATAAAAAGAAATGCTCTTTGTCACAGTGCATAATTAACCCATGGCACTTGGTATCTCTGAGGCCAAAAGTTCAATAGGATTCAAAAAGGGGTTGGACATTTAGTTAGATAATGAGAACATTCAGAGTTACATTAGATAGGATAATAACTTTTTTTAAAAGAAAAATAAATGATACAAACCCTGATGTTTCTGGGCATAAGCCAAGCACTAATTGATGGGGGGGTTAGGAAGAAACTTCCTTTTTGGGCAAGTTATTTCACAATAGTCTACCTTCCTCTTAAGTACCTCATGTGGACACTGTTACTGACAGGTTACTGGGCTAGATGGGCCACTGGTCTGATCCAGTATGGCAATTCCTCTCCTCCTTGTGTAGCAATGGGTGGATGGCATAGATATTTCTTTGAAGTGAAGAGAAATTAAATTTTTTACTTTTTATTAATGAAAATGCTGGCTAAATCTCATCCATCTCTGATCATATAGGGGTTCCCTGTAATATATTCTTTCTAGTAGCAATAATTCCAGACTAGAATACATGTAAACACAGACAGTTTACTAAATGTCTTCTCCAAAATAGAACCCACGACCATAAAATGGCTATTATGATATAATCCAATTTTTTTCAGACTATTTTTTTAACATTTACTAATAGCACAGCTCTGTTGGTCTTTTAAGTGGACACTTAGGACAGGTTTAATATATTTTTGATAGGTTTCAGAGTAACAGCCATGTTAGTCTGTATTCGCAAAAAGAAAAGGAGTACTTGTGGCACCTTAGAGACTAACCAATTTATTTGAGCATGAGCTTTCGTGAGCTACAGCTTTTCTAATATTACAGTTGCTAACTATAAAATGGAATAACATCATTTTTGTCCTACTTTTCTCTTAGACGCCAGAGGAATTGGAAGATATATCGGACCTTGAAGAAGACTACGATGCACACAGTCGTACCAGTGTTCAAACTGAAGGGAAAACTGACAGGGTATGTATCAGACTAGTTTAATAAAAAGCAGTTTGGAGAAGGTAACAAAAAAACCCTAACCTATTGTATTGCTGTTCCTGCGAAGCAATTTTATGTCAGGAAGTGAATCATCAGAATGTTGTTGCCCTCTTAATACATTTTTGAAAATATGCACGGGACTTAGAACTGAAATATATATGTATTTAAGTAACAAAGACAGACCTGATTAAGTTGTAAATATCCTTTGAAGATTTAAACCAGCCAGGCAACTTCTTACACATAAACACATACCTATGTAGAATTCAACTTGCTAAAGTTTAATAATCTTTGAGTTTGCCTAACCAAGGTTCGGTTAACCATGTATTTTGGCATTCCGGTTTTATTTGTGCTTTAAGTTTGTGATGCACTGTATCCAAAATATGACTTCTATATAGAACAAAAACAGCCCTGCAGCACAAAAAGGACTTGGTTAGAGGCTTAGCTGCACCAATGTGTGCATAATGGGATTACTTCCTGAGGAAGGAGTAAGTTCTTCGACAACTAATATAATACTATTATAACAGAAATAATAAATAGATCTAGTAAAAATAGTTATGAAACCTTTCCTTAATTTAAAAATGGATTTCACAAGAAAATTTACATTTTCCAGCAGTGTTTTTATTTTTTTGTTTTTGATAATCAAAAATATTTAGCCTTTTTATAAACATAAAAAATCAGTGAAAATTTTGAATGAAACAAAAAACAAAACAAAAAATACTGCATTTTCCACAAAATTTTTAATACATTGTTTTTGACCAGCTTTAATTATAAATGAATAATTTTTAAAATAAATTTAAAAAATAAACTTTTGGGGCAGCATGCGGTCAAGTCAAGCTCTTAAACATGATAATTAAGGATTAGATTACTCTCATTCACAAGTAGTCCAACTGTAAGTGTTTCACAATATAGTCATAAAGAGTTAATAATCATAGTTGTCATACAAATTTACTAGGAATTGTTTGAATTAATTCAGGTATAGTGGATAACTGACTGCAAATCTACCTTTAAAAATTAGAAAACTATTGTTAATCTAGGAAAGTATTTACTAGGCCTGTGGTGAAAAAAGTTAAACTGACACTTTTTAAAAAAGAATTGCAGTGTTATTGGATGTATTTTTTCTTTCTAAGTAGAATACCAGTGCCTAATAAATGGTACCATTTTGCCTAGGTCTCATTGAGAGAACTGGATAAAGTTGGAGAAAAAGCTTTTCAGGAAAATACACATGAAAATTTTGGCCAGTTTGTTCAATGTGATTTTACTCCCCTTGAAATATTGATTTTCATTTTAGTAAAATTTTAAGATCTTGAACCTTTCTTTTTTTTCTTTTTTTCTTTTTTTTTGGGGGGTGGGGGGTGAAGCAAGAGAAAACTCATCCCCTTAACACAAATTTTCATAACACTTGAGTAGGCGTTCCATCCGGGCACACCCCCGAGCCATACTTTCTGTCTGGATCTAAAAATCTCTTCAGTTTCTGTTTGGTGCGAAGGCGCTAGGGAGTGACTTCAGCTCCCATCACCAGGGTCTTCAGCCTCAACAATCTCTGCTTTTTAACTGACCAAGGCTAATTTCAGTTTGACCAAATCCTTTATCAGGGCAGCAGCATGCAATATTATGTAGCCCTTGGCAAATCACTACAAGGTGCCCTTCATCTAAATAGTATGGTTTTGCTTGTTTTTTGGAAAGCAACATTGCGGGACCAAAATGGCTTAATTCCCCAGGTTCAGTTACACGATAATTAATTATCAATTGATTCTTAAACCATAGTGTGAGAAATGTAACTACTGTGTGAAAGATTATCTCCTACAAAGTTATTACTCAATAAATACAGTTGGCAAGTAAGATATAACAGCTGCCCTTTTCAATCTAAATTATGCCTAGAAATTTTTACCATACTTCCTCCCTATTACAAGCTAAAAAATTCTATTGTAGTTAAGGAAAGCAAGGTCGTTCTCTAAAATACTATCCACATGTTTTGTCTGTTAACAAAACAAACAAACAAAATACCTCAGACCAGTCCCTGAAGGTCGCAGGCTAACATAAATCTTGACATAAGCATTTTTAAATAAATGTTTAAAAACGTCCAGTTGTTGTCAATAAGTCACAAATACGAGAAATAGTTGAGGTTTATTGGTTTGGGATGCGTTACTGCACTCAGACCCGACAGAGTCTAGGTGTGAAGTAGGTCTCTTTATAGGGTTAGTCATTAATTTCTGAAAAATTGCCACACTCCTTCCAGCATATCTTTCATTTTTTAAAAACAAATGCCCCAAATAATGCAAAAGCCATCTCCCATGGAGTGGTATTAAATCAAACTTTATACTATAGTGTGGAACAACAAAGACTGTCACAAAAATTGTGTAGCAAGCTTCAGTTATTCTAAATTAAGGGTGTGGAGAAAAAAATGTGAACTGAGAGGGGAGAAGACCAGTACACAAAATCTTTTGTTTATTGACCCTCCTTACACATGATGTTTACCTGTATAAGAAAGAAGCAACCAAATATCTAATCCTAGCTACAAATCAGAAGGTATGTCTATTGCAGGCTGTGATTGCCACTTGAGTAGACATAGATTAAAGCTAGCTCGGGTCCCAGAGCAGTGAAGCTGCAGCAGCTCATGCTCCAGCCCAGGCTAGGCTCATGAGTAAATTGCCCAGGCGAGCTTTTACAGCTCATGCTAATGCACAGGCTCCTGTGGTTTCACTGCTCTGGGGCCCACCCAAGCAACCTAGCTCAGGTTTGTCTACTGGAGCTGCAATCACATCCCATAACTGCAATATAGACCTACCCAGAGACTATTGGCAAACACTGTATCTCTAACCTGTATCTTTAAAAGACAGTTTACAGTGCAGTGATTGCGTTATAAGGACTCCATTACATGAGTTCAGAGTAGCTTTTGCTTACTCTTTGATCTCTTTCTGACTGATATTTCCACATTGAGAATTTGTTTTATATGTACATATTAGTCTCAAAATCAGTTGTCCTTGAGCATAACAGCAGTCCTGACTTGACTTGTGCATTCAAGAGAGCAATGATTTATTTTATGTAAATTCCTCCATGCCAGTCTGTGTGTTTCCACCAGCAAGCAGGCCCCTTTGAAATTACCTGTCTTATTTCACTTCTCTATTAATCATGTTGTATTTAATCAATAGGGTAGGAAAAAATCTGCTATACATCAGCCACTGTGACTGAGCTGCATATTCACTAGCAAACAGTGCACGATGCAGAGTATTCAGAGTAGGGATAGACATCACTACAGCAAAAAGCTCTAATAAGGTCAAAATTGTGTCTTTCATTTCTCATCCTTGATAGATATGGAGACCTTATAAATGGTATTAGTTATTATTTGTAACTCTTTCAGAAACCAGGAGGAGAGAGTGGAGTTTAGTGTTGAGAGCAGGGGACTGGGTATTGACTTCTGGATTATATTCCTGACTCTGTCACAGACTCGTTATGTGGCCTTTGGAAAGTTATTGCACTCCTCTTTCCCTTCGCTCACCTATCTGTGAAATGAGTGGAGCAATACTCACAAGTACCTCAACAGGTTTTTCTGAGGTTTAATTTAACTTGGTAAAATGTTTTAAGATCTTTGAGAAATTACAGAAAATAATAACCATTAAATGTTTGTAAAAACAATTTTACACCCTTGAATGAAAGACATGGGGCCAGATCCTGAGCTGGTGTAGATTGGTACAGCTTCACTGAAGTCAATGGAACTATGCCAGTCCATTTCACATGAGCATCTGGTCCACCAGGCACAAAGTTGTCTTCTTATAGATCTATGGTTATCTGAATGAAAATTCTCAGTGCCTTGCAGTCATTTTTTTGGAAGAAATGCATGCCATCATGATCAGATACTGAGACTAATTATGTCATATATATAATGACAAAGAGAACACTCATATTTAAACATCTGTTATGAAGAAGCTAGGGAAGATAAAAGTACCTAATTTAATTTAAAAATTGTGATTTTATTCACATCAAAAATGCAGTGTTTCAGTGCACACAGAAATCATTTTACAAAAGACTGAAGCAAAAGTTATGCTTTCTCTCAGGTAACTCCATGCCCACTCTTAGTCTCACAGAGTTTCTTTTACACTGCTTTCTTCTTGAATGCATTCAGATAGGGTGCTCCAGAGTCCACCTGTCTCTCTATATGAATTTGTCCTTTGTTTTGTTTGCACAGCCATTGGGAGCCAATGAAAAGTTAACGCATTGTGTGCAATATTGTGAATGAGAAAATCCATAAACTTTTTATTTGTTAGCTTGTTTCACATGTGAGATCTACATTCAATGTAAAGAATTGTGCCTATTTAAGGTTTACACATTCTTTTTAAATTAAAGTTTGTATTAATCTTTTAAATTACTATTATGTAACTGTAATAAAGGAAAAATAGACAAGCATTTATAAGATTTTTATTCATACAAAAAGCTTAAAAAAATCCAACCTGGACCAGAATTCCATTAAACATTTACCAAATGCAACAGAGATGATGGTGACGACAACAACAGAAAACATTGTGTAATTCAATGACAAAATCTAAAGGTACTTGCATCACGTTTTGACACACAAAGCAATAGCAACAATAGAAATCAATTTATCATTAAATATGTCAACTATTCATATTCAGGTAACAAAGAATTATCTAAAACATTCTTTATATAAAACATACATTGTTATTTTCATTTAGATGAGCTTTTTTTTTTTTTTTTTTTTGGCCTAACTGTGTTAATGGGAAGATTTTGGTATCTTCATAAGTAAAAAAAGTCATTAAAAAAACCCAAAAACCTGTCATAAATTTAATTTTGCCAGAAGCAACACAGAATCTTGAAAGCATAATGACAAGAATTCAGGGCATAGTGCCAATAACTTTCTTCTGTAATTTTAAGTACTTCTGCTAATAGTGGCTTTAATGTTTAATACAGAGCACAATAATCCCTATCAAGAACAATGATTCATCAGCAGTATCACATTTCCCTGCATA